GAGGAGGTGAATATGAGTCACCTTTTGCGCAATTGTGCGCAGATCATGGCATCATCCATCAAACTACAGCCCCTTATACGCCAGAACAGAATGGCTTTGCTGAACGCAAGAATAGAACGTTGAAAGAGATGATGAATGCTATGTTAATAAGTTCTGGATCTCCTCAGAACTTGTGGGGGGAAGCAGTGATTTCTGCTAATTTTGTATTAAACAGAGTGCCCCACAAAAGGCTCGACAAAACACCCTATGAGTTGTGGAAAGGCAAATTTTTTTTTTTTAGATGTATTTCCCGACAAGACTCGGATATTTTTTGATCCAAGTGGTATGGAATCTCAAATAATTCATGAATCTTCTAAGCAATTAGAGGAAGAGGATGAAGAGCCTAGAAGAAGTAAAAGGGCAAAGAAACCGACTTCTTTTGGTTCTGATTATCTAACGTTTATGTTGGATAAAGAACCAAAGACATATCAAGAGGCTATGTCATCACCCGAAGCTCCTTATTGGAAAGAAGCAGTGAAGAGTGAGATTGAATCAATCCGACAAAATCACACTTGGGAACTTGTGGATCTTCTACAAGGATACAAACCATTGGGTTATAAATGGGTCTTCAAAAGAAAGATGAAACCAGATGGTTCTATTGAAAAATACAAGGCGAGACTTGTAGTCAAAGGCTATAGGCAAACTGAGGGTGTCGATTACTTCGATGTTTACTCTCCAGTCGCTCGAAAAACATCCATAAGGTTTATTATAGCCTTGGCAGCCTTACATAATCTAGAATTACATCAGATGGATGTAAAGACTGCATTTCTAAATGGTGATCTGGAAGAAGAAGTATACATGCTTCAACCTGAAGGGTGCAAAGTGCACGAACAAGAGGGAAAAGTGTGTAAACTTGTGAAATCATTGTATGGACTTAAACAAGCTCCGAAACAATGGCATGCGAAGTTTGATAGCGTAATGTTGTCAAATGGATTTCGGGTCAACGAGGTTGACAAGTGCATATATGTCAAAGGTAATGAGACAGAATTTGTGATTATCTGTCTTTACGTAGATGATATGATCATTACTGGTAGTGGTGATAAGGTGATTAAAGCTACGAAAACCATATTATCAAATCACTTTGACATGAAAGACTTGGGAATAGCAGATGTAATACTTGGTATGAGAATTATCAAGACACAAGACGGTTATACGTTATCCCAAAGTCATTTTATAAAACAAATCTTAGAGAGATTTGACAGAGATAGAAATTCTGAGGCCAGAACTCCAATTGATGTTAATTCTCATTTGAAAAAACATCACGGTGAGGGAGTTCAACAATTAGAATATCACAGAATCATAGGAAGTTTAATGCATCTTATGAATAGTACAAGGCCGGATATTGCTAATACCGTGAATAGGCTTAGCAGATATACGAGCAATCCAAGTTGTGATCATTGGAAGGCCATAATTAGACTCCTTAGATATCTAAGGTATACTGCGAATTATGGACTGCATTATACAAGATATCCAGCAGTATTAGAAGGATATTCTGATGCGAACTGGATATCAGATTCGAATGAGAATAAATCCACAAGTGGATATATATTCGTTGTTGGTGGAGGTGCTATTTCGTGGAAATCCTCTAAGCAAACGTGTATTGCAAGATCCACTATGGAATCTGAATTTATAGCTTTAGACCTTGCTGGTGAAGAAGCTGAGTGGCTTCGAAACTTTCTTGAGAATATTCCTATATGGCCTAAGCCGATATCTGGAATTTGCATACATTGCGATAGTCAGTCTGCAATAGGAAGGGCAAAAAGCCATGTGTATAAGGGAAAGTCGCGACACATCCGCAGACGACATAACTCTGTTAGAAAATTACTAACAGATGGTGTCATATCTATTGATTTTGTGAGATCAAAAGATAATTTGGCTGATCCTGTAACCAAAGGCCTTAACAGAGATCAGGTAGAAATATTATCGAGGGGAATGGGATTAAGGCCCATAGAATGACAAATCCACTATGGAATCTGAATTTATAGCTTTAGACCTTGCTGGTGAAGAAGCTGAGTGGCTTCAAAACTTTCTTGAGAATATTCCTATATGGCCTAAGCCGATATCTGGAATTTGCATACATTGCGATAGTCAGTCTGCAATAGGAAGGGCAAAAAGCCATGTGTATAAGGGAAAGTCGCGAAATTTTGCATTGCACATCATTTGCATTAGTTGCATGAGATGCATTTAGGTTCACCTAACTCAAGGCCCTATTTTGATTCTTGTGGGGGATTGTTGGATTTGGGTTTGTTTTGATAGAATCAAAACGGGCCTAGCCCGTGAGAAGCCCGGTCCGTATAAATTTAAATCTGCAAAATATTAAGAAAATATTCTTATTTGAATTTGAAATTCAAATTCAAATTGGATTCAAATCCGCAGAAAATCTATCAAATATGATTGAGATAAGATTGAGATAATATCAAAATAAAATCAAATTTGAATTTTGAAATTCAAATTGATTTGTTTTGAGATTCTCCCCTCTACTATAAATAGGGGTCTTGGGTTAGCTCATAAAAAACATAAAAAAAGAAACAAGCATTCTAGAGGAAAAAGAGCATTCACATATTTGCTCATATCTCTCTCTAAGTTCGCTTTGTATTTGGAAAGCTTCTTCCAAATACGCGGTCGTTATATCCTGGGAGTTCACCGTGCTCCAATAGCCTCGAAGCTTTAGAGGTGGCACGGAAATCGAACTTAAGGAAACTGTGTTTCACAGGCCTCGACAAAACAATCTTTTAATTTCAGGTACTTATCTGGAATCGCTCGAATCGCCAGAGTTTTGCCGTCGTCAACAACCGCCGTCGCTAACAGCCCATACATAACCCATATGAACTAGCTATTCCTAATAAAACTAATTTGCCCATACATAACCCATAACTAATAATATATTCGAATAAAAATTTCCTTGATAGAGTTAAACCTATAAGGCCAAGAACCCTAAAGTGCATACAAATAATTCATCTCTAAAAGGTCGTAATGAACCAAAGACTGAAGTAATGAACTAGCTATTCCTAATAAAACTAATTTGCCCATACATAACCCATAACTAATAATATATTCTAATAAAAATTTCCTTGATAGAGTTAAACCTATAAGGCCAAGAACCCTAAAGTGCATACAAATAATTCATCTCTAAAAGGTCGTAATGAACCAAAGACTGAAGTAATGAACTAGCAAGTGATGGTTGAAAGCAAATAACATTCGTTTTGATTCGGATTATCTTCTTAAGCTCCAAATTTTTTTCCGTGTATCTATTTGTTTCTTTCCCTCCATATCAAATATATCAAGCATTGCCAAGCCAAAAGGATCAGTAAATGTGGTGAATAGATAATAAGGGGCCAAGCCTGGGGTGAATAGATAATTTCCAAACGCCTACACACCCTCAACCCTATATCCGATGTGAATTGACATTAAAAGAAGATATGATCTCGGGATTGTGGGAGGTATTTGTATAAACTACACATTGGGAAAGTGTGGATATCCCAAAAGACCAATATGTCTTTCGTGGAATTTTTGTTGAGCGCAAATAGCCAATAGAGGAAAGCATATCCCAATACACTATTTAAACCAAATGACCTTGAACCAAGGAACGTTATGAGACGAGTCACGAGAACCTTTCCAAATGGATTTGGAAGAGAATCGGGGCATGGCCATACCTCGGACTATCCATTGGTGTGTGTCGGCGGAATTGTTTAGTTGAAATCCCGACAAGTGAGCAACAAAAGCTGGTTAGGGTAGAATCCATTCCGAATTTTGATAACTTCAGCAACCTTGGCATGCAAAGCCCCTAGCTGAGCAGGCCCAGTTTGGTCCAAAATGGGTGTATGAGAGCTCCTAAGGGAGTCCAAGGATCCATTCAGAAGGAAGTAGTTTTGTCGTCAACTATTGTGATAATAAAATCTGCGGCCCAAGATCGAAACTTAAAAAGTTTCTTGAATGTGCATGAATGTTTCAGCAATGGGTTTAAAGTCCATAAATGTTACAAGTAAATCAAGAGTTGTAATATTAGAAATGCAATGAATCTGAATACATACGAAAATACTCAAAAAGAGTTTCGATACTATGTAAGCATTAATGACACTAGGAGTGGGCATAGGTACTTGAAATCTGCGGGTTTTCGGGTATACAACCTCATGGGTATTCGAAATACGGATAACACTATATAATAAAGATGAAAACGAGTTTGATAAAGCCAAAAATCTAGATTACGGATTCGAGATCGGAGTTTGTTTAAACGACGACGGGTATACTCGGATACTCGAGTATGAATAAAATGACATTTAAATCCTTGTTATTTTAATGTATTTATAGTAAGTATTAAATATATTTTTAAATTAAAATACTAAAACACCCCCGGAATCAATAAAAATCAATGTTTCTAAAGTTTTGGAAGGGTTCAATACCCTCGGGTAATCGAATTCAACGATGGATATCCGAACCGTGCGTACTCGGACTTCACAAAAACTAAAACGAGATAATAACTTTTTCAAAACTCGTGAAGACGAAAACGAAACCCAGATACCCCAAAAAATCAGGGTACTCGACTCGTGTCCATCCCTAAATGAAACCATTTTGGTTTCCAATGTACCCCTACATTACATCATAATTACACATTTAATTTCAAATTCATTAAATATTAAAAATGGATTAAATATGTAGGGTAAAACCATTAAAATTCATGAACTTGTACAATGATGGAAAACTAATTCTTAAATTTTTTACTTGTCAAATTGATTCTAAACTTATAAAATATAAAATATGTCATTATAATTCCCAAATTAATATGTAGATTAACATTGTCAAAAAAAATTTCAGATACCAATTAACAAGTTTAAGAATTTTAATCACACATTTTTCAAATTTAGAAATAAATTTATCAAGTGAAAAGATTAGGAATTAGTTTTTCATCACTTTGTAAGTTCGAGTTTTTATGGATTTTTTCAAAATATGTATTAAAAATCGAATTAAATGAAAATTTTACTTTATTGGATAACTAAAATATTATTCGATTGCATTTATGAAAATTTTATGCTTATTGCTCTGTTACATCCACATATCACAAAAAATATTCTTCTCCAATCATTGATCCATCTCTACGGTATTCACCCTGTGATGTTAAAAATAACAAAGTTCAATTCTATATTATTATGTTCCATAAAACATTATAATTTTATCATTGAAAAATTTATATAATTAAAAGTAGTAAATTGCATATTATAAATAAAAAATTAGAAAGACAAAAAAAGAACGATATTATAATCACAGTTTTCGAGATTACCATCTTGGGAGATTGAGAGAATGCTCCCGGGCAATTCTTCAGACAAAGCTTTATGCAAGCTTCAAAAAAGACTGGTGGTCCCCACGGACATTTATCAAAACAAGCTTTCGCGCAATGTTCCAATGTCTCTCCGCTTGCTATCTCTACTGCCATTACCACCAACACTATCACCATCCACAACTTCAAAACCTGACTAATCGTCGCCATTTCGATCTAACTAAATACGCCGATTTTAAGATCTCCACTAGAAGATTATATCGTCTTCGGTTTCAAACTCGAACTACTATTTTTTTTTTGCTACGATATTTTTTATTGATGTATTCGTATGGCCTATGAATTCCTATTTATATAAGTTAAAAAGGGATAGATACTTAGTATTAGGATGATTTTGTATTTATTATCTTTCCTTAGATAAACTTTCATTTTTGGTCTCCTATTTTGATGGATGCAGAGGAGAATATATAGTAAGTTAATAAATATAAGATTTAGAACATGATGAAAATTTCTGATATATAATCACCATTTTTTTTATGTGTGATACCCTAATGTTATATATATAATAAATTAAAAAATAATTAAAAAGAATAAGAACGAAAAGTAGGTAGCACGAGAAAAATAAAATATATACATATAATATGACAAGAGTGGAGACTCCATTCAAGAAAAAAAAATATAAAATAAATAAAAAAAATTATTCTCCCCTTATAAAAAGGACACGACAAAGATGCAAAAGATGCACGAAGAGAGCACGAGAGAGAAAAAAAAAAGAAAAAAAAAATCTATATATATTTTATTAAAAATATATTTAAGGCGTTGATCATAGTCAAAGAAGTCATAAGTAGGAAAGCTAGTCAACATAATTCGGTTAGTGAATTCAAGTTTTTTTCTCAAAGTTTGTTTTCCCGTAAATTCAATGTTTATACGTGGGATAAATTTAGATTTATATATAGGATTAAGATTATGAATGAACATAATTGTCTGAGGAATAAAGTGATGAATAGTAACTATGCACAATAGTAACATAAATAGTAAAAATAATTATATAGTAGAATTAATCATAAAATAAAATAAATAAATAAATAAGTAAAAATGTGTAAAACAATACACCGTATTAGTATATAGTAATTCGTAAAAATGAACAATAAAAGTAAATAATAAAATTAGAACAGTAAAAATAAGGGAAAATTCCTTGAAAATTCGCAAACTTGCGATTAGGTAGAAAACTAATTCATAAACTTACAAGTGTTCCTATTTATTTCCAAGTTTGAAAAATTAGACACGATAATTCTTAAACTTGTTTAAAAGTGTCGTAATCATTCTTACAATAATTTTGACCAAAATAATGTGTTGAACAATCTTACGTGGCACCTGAATTGTCAAGACACGTCAGACTTTTATACTATGTATACAGAACCGAGTTTAATAGATACGGTTTAATAAAACTAGTTCATAATAGTGAAAATTCTGGTTCACCGAAAAAGCTGGGATAATGACGGAGAACGAAATAATTACCATCACTGCTGGTTCTCAAATTCTAGACCAGATCGATGGTATCTTCGCCGAAACATGAGCATTTGGTCTCGAAGTAACTGTCATTAGGGATAGATCTTTCATCCCAGATTTTCTGGTGAAAACCGTCGTTCAACAAAGAGATGCGGTGACCAAAAATGCCATCAATGAACCCGAAAATACCATACAAATTGTTACTTTTACTGAACTGAAATTTTTACTATTAGAAACTGGTTTTGTTAAACCATATCTATTAAACCCAGTTCTACATATATGGCATTAGATTCTGACGTGGCTTGACATTTCTGTTGGTTGTAATGCTCTAGGATGATCCGTGATATGACATTTGACTTTGTATTGATTCATTGATTTTATGAATGCATTACTTTTCCCGTTATACGATTGGCATGTTTGTTGTATGTCGATATCCTTGAATCATTAGAGAATGATTCTAAACTCCCTGTTCAGTTATCGTTGTGGGAACAATGATGAATTAAGACTAGCATGAGGTGTGATCGATGCACTGGATGCAGATCACAATCATGGGTACTCGTTGAGAACGAGTAACTGGATGACCCACATGAGATTGTCACATGGACAGAGTCATGACTTGAATCTCATACAGCGGTTCGTTCTTAGATCCTCATACCTGAGATGTCTAGAGTATCTGATATGAGGAGTGGCGTGTCTTGACTACGTCAAACATCGTCTTTAACCGGATGATTATAACGACGTTGATCAGATACGTTCACGAATCATATGGAGATAGTAGACATGCAATATGGGACTTGTCACCTCCTTACAAGGAGAGATATCAGCTGGGCCCTCTCGTGGAAGTCGGACTATGAAAAACGCGTGGCCACGCTATAGATGAAGTTGCATCTATTTTATTAGTCGATTTGCCAAGACGAGAAAGCGGTTGAACTTGAAGGGTGGCTCAAACCATGCCCTTGTTCAACTTATGATATCGTGAGACAAAGGATCAGAATTCGAGTTGTTAATGCCTTGGTTAGATCACCTCTAACTCAATTCTAAGTGGGTGGTCATGGCGTCTTGCTAGAGGCTAACTATGACTTGTGGTTCGGGAAAGGTTCCGAAGTCACTACCACTTAGAATGGGCCTACAGTGTCACACACCACTAGGGATGGACTTATACGTGAAGAATCCGAAGAATGGAAATGAGAATTTAACCGAAACGAGCACGAAAAGGATTTTCAGTGTGTTGGTCCGAAGTTGACCAAGTTTGGTCAGCCCCGGACCAAGTTGGTCAGCCCAGGAGGTCCGGAAGTTCGGTCCGAGGTCATCTGTTCAGGGTTGGTCCGGCTGACCAAGAGTTGGTCAGCCCCGGATCAGATGTTGGGTCAGGCAGACCGAGGACCGAAGAACGGCAGACCGGAAAAAGGAACCAAGAGGTTTAGTCTGGAGCTGACCAAAAGTTGGTCAGCCGGACCAAACCTCCAGGTCAGGCGGTCCGAAGGGAGCTGAGCAAGCTTGGTCCAAAATTCAGATTTAGGGTTTTCTAAGCTTATTTAAGTTTGGGATTTCGTCCAAACTTAATTAAGGCCGCCCTAAAACTCAGAGAGACATCTAAGAACCCTAGAGAATTCATTCTTTTCGTTTTTGAGCTTCTCGGGATTAGATCGGTCTCTCGAGTTACCCTTTTCTTCACTAATCCTAGCAGATACGTTCCAAATCATTTGGAATCCTTCCCGTCGGTGTGGATACGTGTAGAGGGATTGTAACTTCAGTTCTACGTGATTTAGAACAGGCCCCGGATCGAACTTTGCTTTAAGTTCCATCGAGAACGAGGTAAGTAACGATTCCCTCGGTGATATACACGATCAATCGGGTTTTGCAAGTTTGGTTGCGTATGATGTTTGGCTAGGTTTAGATCTTTCTTTCGCTGCATGAAACCTAGTAAACCAAACCCTAGATCGATATGATCGCATGCTAGGAACCCGTAGGTTACCCAACAGTGGTATCAGAGCCTGCTTCTCTATATATCGCCGTGCTTGTTGTATGATTGCATGATTTAATCGTTAAATTGCATGTAATCATTGAATCTATGCATGTTTAATGATATTTGTGATGAATGATGCATGGATGGTATGGAGTCTGGGACGGGTTAACGGCGCGACGAAACGGACGCATTGGCCGCTGGGCGCATTGGCCGCTGGTTCATCCTCAGGAACGGCTTCTTCCAGCATGTAGAGCTTCCGCTCATGCCTGAGAACAATTCTCAGGTTGTGGTACCAGTCGAGAAAGTTTCCACCAGTGAGTCTCTCCCGATCCAGGATAGATCGCATGGAGAGATTAGCCAGATTACCTGCAGCAGTCATATTCTACAGAAAAAGATAAACAAACAGACAGAAAAACATGCAAGTCGCTTAGTACACATACTATCACAGATAATAGATGCAATATGACAAGCTCCCACTAAGAAAAACACCCTCAATGAGTTTCTAAGTGAGTTAGGATCCATATTTCACATGTTTTTGAGTCAGCTAGGGCATGACGCCCAAAACCATGCTATTTAGGTAGACAACGCATTGTCAATCATATCATATATGACTCCTAGATGAGTATGGGATAGTGATACGCTATCACTGCATGTTCCTCATCCCATCCTTACCATTAGTTCCAAGTCCGACTTGATAACCCAATTCAAGCTCAACCATATTCGAGCTTTGAGAATCACGATTTCTCCATACTGCCTCACCAAGATAGTCAAACACGCTCAGCTAGGGCATGACCCATAACCATGATGATCGAGGCTTTGACAGTTGCTCTACTAATAGGCGGTAATAGCTTAAGATTAATCATGAGGAAAAAGATAAAATTTCGGACTTGAGAAGTGTCTGAGGTCCAGTCTGGAGATGACCAGAATCTGGTCCACCGGACTGACCCCGGACCAAGCTCAGTTTCGAACTGAGTCCGATTCCAGGTCAACTCGGAGGAGAGAAGAAGACTGAGTTGGTCCGGAGCTGACCAAGAGTTGGTCAGCCCCAGACCAAGCTCAGAATGTTTCTCAAAACGGACAGATCGGCGGACCAGAGAAGCTGACCAAGGTCAGTCCGGCGGACCAGATTCTGGACAGCTCCGGACTAGACCTCATACACTTCTCAAGTCCAAAATTTTGTCTTTTTTCTCATGATTAATGCCTTGGTTAGATCACCTCTAACTTAATTCTAAGTGGGTGGTCATGGCGTCTTGCTAGAGGCTAACTATGACTTGTGGTTCGGGAAAGGTTCCGAAGTCACTACCACTTAGAATGGGCCTACAAGGTCACACACCACTAGGGATGGACTTATACGTGAAGAATCCGAAGAATGGAAATGAGAATTTGACCGAAACGAGCTCGAAAAGGATTTTCAGTGTGTTGGTCAGCCCAGGAGGTCCGGAAGTTCGGTCCGAGGTCATCTGTCCAGGTCTGGTCCGGCTGACCAAGAGTTGGTCAGCCCCGGACCAGATGATAACGCAAATCTAGGTGTATAAATAAGCTCTAGTAATAAAAAACCTAGATACAGCGAATACCGCAAGGATACGAATCAACTGTAGTACCAGGGTCGAACACAGGGAATAGTTAACTATAGAAATAAGACTTAACCAAGAATTAGATCAGGAAATATAGAATGAAGTATGTGAATATCGAAAATAAAACAATGAACTCACTAAAGAAAATCAGATAGCTAAACCACCGTAGCTTCAGGATAACCTTAATGCGCAGGGATTGTTTCTAAGGATGGAGAATCTACGAATATCGAACTCTAATCGGGGATCTCAAGT